ATACACAGCACTCACTAGCACAGTATTAGCAGGAAACTCGAACTGTCCTCCTACAAGAGCAACCACTGCTGCTTCTACTTGTCTCAGAGGACAATAGGCTTCCTTCTTCTACTCCAATCCTTACACCATATTTCTCCCAATTCATCAGTTGAGCTTTGTCTCCTTGAATTAAGAACAGCTTCTTCTCTGCTACCTGGACATCACTCAGACAATCCAAATTATCTATCAATTGTATAAAATACACTCACTCACTCAGTCAATAATACTCTTACCCATTGAAGGGATCAGGTAGTTAAATTGTAATCCAATGGTACTAGTCTCTTTGATTTGACTCCATTGCTCCCTCTCCTTCATTAGTTTGGCAGTATACAATTCATTATTAGCAACTTTACTTTTCAGTTCTAAATATTCTCTCATATAATATACACATTGATGACAATACTCTAACCTTTAGTGATCTGTTTCTCCTTGAGATATTGTTCCTCTAATTCTCTCTTCTCTTCCTCTACTTGCTCCTTCTCTTTCTCCACTTTTCTCTTCCCTTCTTCTACTAGTTTCTTCTCTTCCTCAATTTGTTTCTTCTCTTCTTCTATTTCAGTTATATATACTTCATAATCATCAACTTTAGCTTTCAGTTTCTCATTATCTTCTACATTAATAGACTCATCTAATATTATGTACTGATGATACACTAACCAGTAATAATCTGTTTCTCTTCTTGTAGCTGTGCCTGTGCTTTTAACATCTCTTCCAATTTCTCACTCTTTACAGTTTCACTATCATCAACTTTAGCTGAAAAGATAACATAAATGATCATACATGTACACATACAGTATAACGTGTAAAAAATCAGTCCACTGTATGCATGCATAGTGTACATGTACAGTGTGTATTCAGTAAATCAAGTTTCATTCATCAAAATCTTAACACTGGGTGATTTGGTGTAGTGCAAGATTTCAGAATCAGCTCATTTTAAAAATAGCCAAAATTCGAAAAGTTTTTACGACCTGGGGGCGTAGCCCCCAGGTCGTCCTATAATTGATTTCACCCACATGCGATATATATATATTTGTATGTCAACACTTACATTTCTTCTATACATGTTGTATTGGAGAAATAACAAGCCTTAGCAACCACCCGCCCACGCTATGTAAGTGGGTGTGGTCACGCCAAGCAAAATGGCGGCTTGCACATGGGACAAAGTTATGGGCTTTCTAACAGCGAAAGAACATAGAGATACTGTCTAAAAACTTCTCTAGAAGCATTAGAAGGTAGAGAGAACGTTCATAAGTCTTAATAAGAACCCAGTTGTACTTGCAAAGTGGTGAAAACAATTATAGGAATATTTTTACACTGTTACGCTTGTTTGTCCAAAAATCGTCTCAAACTTTCTACATAGCAAAAGGACGTCAATATGCATCAGAAAATGTAATAAAAATTAGGAGTGATTTTTTAGCCATTTTTGGAAAAACCATGGGCTGTAGTACAGTATAATTTGCAGATGGTCAAATGTTTGTCAAAATTTTAATGGAAAGCATTCTGCCAGAATTCTACACTCCAAATTTCTATAACTATGCATACATTACATCACATTAGTTATGTAAACTAATAATATGTAAACCATTAGTCCATTACATAACATACATTACATTAAAATTCACATCATACATATGTACCGTATTTCCTCGTGGAAACGCCTAGGCGTTTATTTCTTATAGAGACCCGTTTGCCAGGCGTTTAAATGAAGTAGGCGCTTATACGAGGTGGGCGTTTATAACAAAAAAATAATCCTTACCACCATGTTTCAATAGACACAACGCGTAGTTTAAAACTGACATCAAACTTCTGAGTTTCCTTAGCCTTCTCAGCTGCAGCTGCCATTGTAGAATGTAAACTACGTAAGGTACACGTACCACGTGGATGGGGTAGGTGGGTGTGGTATAGGCTTTTAATCAAGAATGGGCGTCTAAACAAGCATGGGTGTTTATTGTCAAAGTTATATGCTGTTTCTAGGCGTTTATACAGGCATGGGCGTTTATACAGGCATGGGCGTTTATAGGGAGTAGGCGTTTCCACGAGGAAATACGGTACATGTACATGTACCTTGTTTATTGGCCTCAGTCAGTGCCTCCTGTAGTGATACTTTGTTCTGATGAGCCACTTGTAGTTCTTGATGTAAAGACTGGATGTATCTCTGAAGCTTCATTTCCTTCTCTGTGGGATATTCTATTAGCTGATCCATCCACCATGTTCTGGTCTTGCTGTATGATGAATACTTTTCTTGATATTTCTTACTAGTGAGATCATTACCATCCAGTACTGACTGTACTATCCACTCACCAGCTTCAATATATACTGAAATAAGAACAAATAATATTATTATTTAATGTTTTACATTGTTTCTAGTATTATTAATAATAAAAGATTGTAAGAATAATGGTTGGTAATAATTAATCCTCATTATAACATAATTTTAATAATTATTATTTTACCTAATTCAATTATCATTGTTAGTCTATTAGTATCAGTGATAAGTGTACTCGTTGGCTCTTCCACTCCTCCTCCAACATCTTCCCATTTAAACTCATCACGTCCTCCAACAATTACTAGCCACACACAGTGTGGTGACATTGTGACTGCTGTGAGTGAGTGAAAGTATCTACCAGTAACAGACTCAGGCAGAGGAATCTGTAGACAATGAGAAATATTACTGATAAATTTTATATAATGACAGTATTATGTACATTTGTACATAATACATAAAAATATAATACATGTACATGTACATGTACATGTACATACTGTATAGTGGGTTTATTTCGAGGATAACAAATTTCACAAATTTTGCGAATTTTTAAATTACTTGAAAATCAATTTAATATGGTACAAGATGGAAGAAAAGTGGCAGTTCGCAAAAATTAATTCCGTGAACCTCCGGATACAGACCATTCGCAAAAATTATTATTCTCAAAATAAACCTGCTATATGGTATCACAAATCAGTATAGACCACCCACACGTTACGTAACACTTCTTTGAAGCCGGCAAAACATTGGGATACACGTGGCCAGGCACACCCACTGCCAAAAAGAAGGAAAACGTTGTGGATAAACACTATAAAGAGAAAAAACTGAAAACCAACCAAACATACAAGACTATGTGGAGAACATTTTCGTCATGATCTAACTGATGTAATTTTCTAAGAAGGCCGGTTGATAAACCTGCTGATATAGACTATGTCCCAACTGTTTTTACCAATAAAGAAGGGACTAACAGTGTCAGCCAAAAAAAACAAGCTGCCTTAGCTGATGAAGAAGCTTTTAATAATAACACAAACTTTCGTCCTCCTTTTCCAAAGAGACAACAAAAAATTGTCCTAACATGTCCACTTTTGCAGTAATTGTAGGCCTCTAGTTGTTTTCAGGACATGAGCTGTTCTCTTGGTGGGTTCTCAATAGCCCCGTTTACACTACAAACCAGTTTGGATCAAAGCGGTTCAGAAACCAGCTTGATTGTGTCCACACGTAACTGTGGCTGAATCGGTTTACAATGCTACATTGCATACATAATACTAGTCTCGCATAGCCAGACCACACCCTCCGTACCTACGGGTGGTGGGTCTGGCAAATTGACCATACTCCGCTCGTTCTTATGGCAAGCCGTTTGTGTCAAAATTAATAACTAAGCTTAACAACACAAAACATCACGTTCAAACTTTTAGCCTTACGTTTTATTTAACCTTACGTTTTATTTAACCTTACGTTTTATTTAACCTTACGTTTTATTTAACCTTACGTTTTTATGTAACCTTACGTTTTTTATTTAACCTTACACTTTAGTTAACCTTACGTTTTAGACTTCACATTTTATCTAACTTTTAGCCTTACGTTTTATTTAACCTTACGTTTTTATGTAACCTTACGTTTTTATGTAACCTTACGTTTTTATGTAACCTTACGTTTTTTATTTAACCTTACACTTTAGTTAACCTTACGTTTTAGACTTCACATTTTATCTAAACCATATGTTTTATTTTCTATTTTTATAACCTTACGTTCTAGTTTATTGTTAATAATAATAACATTGAAGGGGTGGGGTAGTCAATTCATGCATGCCGCGCCCATTGCCCAATAACAAAATGGCAGTAGCTGAAAGTCGTGATTGGGATGCTTATTTTGCTGCAGTAGCTAGTTTTTTAATCGAAAGTGAACGTCAGTACGGTGTTTGTAATGATCAATATACAAATTATGCTTTGGAGCAGTTAGAATTCCTTCAAGTAACTTGCCGCACTCTCATCAGGGTCGTTTCTCAGCAAACTCTCGGAACTATTTCTGCATTGCTTCTTGATCTACTATCCTGTTTGACTACATTGAGATCAAGATGGCAATCATACTCTGATACCATTACTACTCACCAAACAAGGATTTTCAGACCACTTTTATATTCAGGAATGCCAGGAAGACCACGATTCGATGTTAGCAGAGATGAGATTGAATATTTGAGGTCGCTTTTTTTTAGCTGGAGTGAGATTGCTGCTCTAATTGGTATTTCAAGGTCTACTTTATACAGGTACGTTAAACTGTATCTATCAAAATTAATTAATTTATATTTAACAGACGTAGGGTGGAGCTAGATCTAATTAATGATCCAACATCCCATTTAAATGATACCGAGTTAGCATCATTTGTTGCTGAAATGCAGTTAACGTCACCAAACATTGGTCAGTCACTAGTAATAGGCAAATTGCGATCATTGGGTTATAGAGTGTCAAGGGAGAGGGTTCGTAATACTCTAAGACTTAATAATCCTCTGACGAGTGCTCTTAGATGGCCAGGAATAATGACACACAGACGCCCATACTCAGTACCAGGGCCGAATTCATTATGGCACATTGGTAAGCATAAATTAACACTGAAATATTGATTTCACAAAGAAATTACTTCCTTTAACATGATAAAATCTTTTTTAATTTTAGATGGCCATCACAAATTAATACGCTGGAGATTTGTAACCCATGCTGGAATTGATGGATTTAGTAGGATGATTGTTTATTTGAAATGCTCAACCAACAATTATGCAAGTACTGTTTTAGAGGAGTTTATGAAGGCTACAGAGAAGTTTAACTTGCCATCTAGAGTTCGCTCTGACCAAGGTACTGAGAATGTACTAGTTGCACAATGTATGCTAGAAAACAGAGGGGTTGATCGAGGAAGCATTATAACTGGGCCCTCTGTCCATAATCAGAGGATAGAGAGACTGTGGAGGGATGTTTTCAGTGGAGTTATAAAAACTTTTTATAGATTATTTTATTATTTAGAGGAGCAGCACATGTTGGACCCAATGAATGAGCACCATTTATTTTCACTCCACTATGTATATTTGCCTAGAATTAATAGAGCTCTTAGTGAGTTCCGAGAATCATGGAATCATCATGAAATTCGTACAGCCAACCACAAATCCCCACACCAACTTTTTGTCTCTGGGATGATACTTCTTCGGCATACCCGACAAGTTGCTATCGACTTCTTTAATAATGTCAACGATTTATATGGCATAGATGAAGATGAACCTGAACCAATTCAGGATGGAAATATTGCAGTACCTAGAGTGAATTTTACTTCATCTCCACATACCATGCAACAATTACATACACTTGTTGACCCTTTGCAAGCATCTGAGTCATATGGCATTGACCTTTATGAACAAACTCTAGCATTCATTGAACAAAATGTTTGACTTATTTTCACATTGAATAGTAATTATGGTAAACTGAATTTCATTGAATGTTCAAAAATATAATATTAAAATTTAAATGGTCACTTGCATTTAAAGGAAATGTTTTTGATTATGGGTGATTTTAGAATCATAACATAGTATAAAGTAAATAACAAAACAACTATAAAACTGAAACCAAAGAGCTATAGGAATGCATTTTACTTTACTAAAAATTAACTGAAATATTTATAATAGAGATAAACTATACCTGATATATAGGAGTATTATAGATGAAATAGAAAGTCATTTATGGTGTATTGTGTATTTCTAGCTATAAAAATGTATGAAACTATACTAAAACTAAGAGTGCTAAAACTTACAATAGATACTTACAATAGCATAAATATGAATTATACTGGTCCAAGAACACAATGAAAATCCAATATCTCAAAAGTTAATATACGAAATGGTTAATGAGTCTATTGCTACAAAAAATGATACAATACAGTTATCATTGTACTAGCAGTGTAAATAAGAAAAAAATCAATGATTTCAAAAATAGTCAGAGTGATGTCATAGTGAAGGACTCCTCGTTTGTCAAAATTTTATCCATCTCACTTTGAAAATCGGTATATGTGCTGTAAGTTACTGGTAACTGTAATGAACAGTTACAGGTATGAGCAATGGGCCGCCTTGCAAAACCTTCAAGAGAGTTAAATTTAACAGTGATGCCCTTTCCAGTAAAAACACACGATCCAGTTACATATCTCAAAAAAAGTGATACTGTGTTTTTGCTTGCACTGCCAATGTATTGCCTCAGGTACATTAATACCCTTTCTTGCAAAGGAGTTTCAGTTATGGCATTTGACTCAATAGACATTAAAATCTTCTCTGGTGAAGAACACATAGCAGAATAGATAGCATAAAGGTCAGACACAGTCATCTTTCCCCAAAACCTCCTATGCATCTCAGGAATACCAGAACGAATCATTTGAATAGCTGCTGCAGGTTTCAATAGAAATTCACATTTTGCTACTTGGAGAAGAATACTCTCTAAATTAGATGGGGATGGTATCTGTCTAGAACCATAGAAGCTGAACAGACTGACTAAATTACTGGAAATTTTCTCCGAAAACAATGTGTTTCCATTTTCTACCTGATGTTTGGCCTCTTGAAGTACTTCAGCATCATACGAGCTTAGACCATTCAAAAGAACATCAATTAACTTGTTGTCTGGAATACTAGTTTCATTGTAGCATTCCAATAACATTGCTGCCAAACATGGGAATGCAACTCGTACTGGTAAAATACCGGTAACTAAGTAAGAATGGGATATAATTGAGCCAATGACTCTAAGTGATTCAGAACTGATTCCCGGATGAACAGAAGGTGTCACTAGTGTGGAACCTTCAAAGAAATGAAGATACATTTCCTCAAAGAAGGATGAAAAAACATCCCGTGCCACACCTCCCGTATCAACAGCCACCTCCCCTCTATATTTAAAACGAAGGGGATAATGAGACAGAATTGTGGATTTTGAGTAGAGCTCCATGATGTCAGTATAGACACTGTCTCGTTTAATGAAATGAAGTCCACGACATAGATTTAATGAGGACATATAATCAAGACGCTCTTTATCAGCTAAATGGAATAAATAATAATAATAATACAAATTTATGAGATACATTTATACCTGTTGCAAGACATGAGTTGAAATTCTTGTCACTTGTGCTTTGAAATATGTCCTGCTAAAATGTAGAAACAAATCATAAAACATAAATTCAATCACAATAGATCATACTTGTGTAGAATCACCATAAATTAGAGATGGCTGATATGTACCAGAATCATACTCAACAACTACAGTGGAACCACGGCATATTGCTGACTGCTGCAAAGTAATTTTATCTACTGGTATTTCCTTCCGAGGATGAGTGAAAAGCAAAAATGGTGGGTTCACCTCACCCTTAGCAAATACATATCCATATAAATCCTATGTGTAAGAAATATGAATAGATATTACAGTAAACTATAATATACTATTGTTAATCATTTTAGCAACATATTTATACAACCTGTGGGTACACCACAGGCATGAGAAATATTAAATAATTAAGATAGTGCACATAATAACAAAACAATATATAATTCACAATAGAGCTAGCAATCTGGGCCACATGCTTTACATCATACAATAGATGAAATGACATTCAAATTAAAAATATGTACTTGCAAAGGTGTGTCATCATGAAAATAATGAACTAATCGTGAGCCACTGGCCAATCTGAATGCAAGATTGTAGTCCCCATTTTCCATTGCATCAAACTTTGTACGCAAAGACAAACGTAATGATTCATTTACCTATTATTGCATACAGTGAATGAAAAAAATAGTATTCATTTACCTCAATGTTTTCTTGAGCAGCAGCAATGGCATTATCCTAAATGCAAAGATCATACATTATGCAATGGTTATAATAAGAATTATGGTTACATTTGCTCTATCAAACTCTGCAGAAGCCAAATATGCATCATTTTGACTCTCAATTAACTGTTGCCTGTTCTAAATATAACAGAACATCACAAAAACCTATAATAGATAAACTAACCGGTATACTTGCACTAGCTTCATCAGGAATACTATGATCAAGAATACCATCTTCAGGAGTACCACGACCAGCTTCAGGACTACCATTATCACGACCAGCTTCAGGACTACCATTATCAATACCAGCTTCAGGAATAATGTTATCAATACCAGCTTCAGTCTCAAATATTTCCTCAGGTTCAAAAATAAGAGGAACAGGCTAAATAAATGAAGTTATAAATATTGTGAGATAATTACATAATTATTCCATTAACTCACTTCAACATGAGTGATCTGTACACCGTTACTATCACTGGATAATGAATCCTAGAGATATGACTTCATAATAAATGTCAAGATTATACTTACCATAGATATATCAGTAACATAAAGACAGCCACCACCACAGAGCTCAATAACCTCACTGCCATTTAAACTTTGTTTTCCTTCAACAATTTCCAAGTAATTATTTGGCAGTGACTTAAGGTAGGTATAATTAGAAAACGACAGGCCAGCAAAACATTTATGAATTGACTCCCTTACAGCAGCTGCCTTCATATTTCTACGCACCTGAATGGTTTTTATACGACCATCTAGTTCAAGCTGCTTCCTTCCTTTTCCACGGGGAATTTTTAACAGTGGATCATTAACCATAACAACTTTAATACATCGAGCTCTTCCACCATTAGACACTGATGCTCCTTTCTTTTTCTGATGAAGATGTTCAGCTGTACTTTTGTCTGAAGGGTCAAATTTTGAGGTGCTAGGTTGAAAATTATTACGTGACGGATATAGCTTATTCAAAATTTTGTGGTGCTCTTCACTGGGCTTCTTGCGAAGTGACAGACAAACATCTAATGCTTTCTTAGTTGTTTCTTGCACCTAACAGAAATAAAAAAAGACAAGTCAGTGTGGCCATCACTTGACATTAAATTCTAATTATTAGCCACAGTTACTACAACCACTCCCATATAATCAAAGTTCTATGCATTACTTTTCATACTGAACTAACCACATTAGGCCTAGGTGTCACTGTCAACTTATCTCCATCCTCTATATCATAAACGCTAGTGACAACGACGAATGAGTCCCATTTAGGTGACCATTTCTGTAGTATATACTTGGAAGAGGTGTCTTGTAAGCTGACTGTTGCAGTGCTCTCATATTTGCGGATTTCATCCTCAATATCACTCACTAAATCTGTATTATCTATAGGATGGATAGGGATTTTGGTTCCAGCAAACTCTAACAACACCTCCATGATCAAGCACACGCACACATACACACGAGTTGGATGTAGGCGTGGCCTCGTAATGCGCATGCGCTTGAAGAATAAAAACAAAGATAAAACGTAAGGTCCAATAAAAATTAAAATGCACAGAACATAAGGTTTAAATAAAACCCTAAATAGGTTATAATAAAAAAAGTAAGGCCGAAACAAAACGTAAGGTCATTTTCTAAACTTTGGTATATTAAATCATGGTGAAATACAACGTAAGGTTAAATAAAACATAAGGTCGAACAAAACGTAAGGTTTAACCATAGTTGTATTATCTAAGGTTGAACAAAACCTAAAGTTAAATAAAACGGAGGGTTGAATAAAACGTAAGGTTAAAAGTGTGAACGTGATGTTTTGTGTTTTTAAGCTTGGCTATTAATTTTGACACAAACGGCTTGCCATATGCTCGCCCCTTCAATGTTCTACATTCGCCTAGTTATGATTATGACGCATGCTATGACGTCATATGAAACCGCTCTATGTACGTACGTCTTCAGTCACGCCTATTCTGGTCACACCCAACGTGTGCACTACTATCTATTTAAATGTCAATGATCTAATGCGGTAGTATTCTGATGAAATATTTTCATTGATGTGGGCGTGGTTGCAATGAAACAAAATGGCGACTATAAAGGCTATGAAACGGGAGCAATTCTCCAGCTTACTTGCAGCAGGATGAGACTCATCTGTTATCCAGACACTTCTCTAGCAGCAACAAAGATGACAAAGTAGCTATATAATCATCAAGGTCTGTAATCATTGTTGAATCACAGCTTATATGATCCCTTATCCATCAGAAAGAAGATCAAGTTGTGAGACAGTGACTGCCATTAATATCTGCAGAAATTCTTAACTCATGAAGCTTGAAGAGCAAGCTCATAGTATGAAATTACCTTCCACTGATGAAAGTTATGCAATGCTCTGCATCAGTATATTGACATCAACCTTTATTTAGTCTTAATATGTGACTACATCAATCTATATAGACATTGTACATTGCTAATCGAAAATCAAGATTTTAATCGTTTTGCTCGCCCCTCAATGGTTTACATTCGCCTAGTTAAAATGTTATAAGGGGTGGTACTTGGGCAACTCAACTTGAACCGACTATATCTATGATTAAGCTGTTAGTACGTACGTGATCACCGAGCAAAACGCGGGCATGGCCTTTGATTAATTAATATCACGTGATGCAAAATGGCCAAATAGAGCATCAAAATAGAGTCAATGGAACTTTTATTCATTCACTAGAAACTATGATAGTTGCAGTTATTTTTAACATCTTAAACTATCGAAAATTGATTTATCTAATGAAGTAAAGAAGAGTATCAAAGTTAAGATGCACTGTCTCTTTCTCCTTCTTATATTCACGTCTATAATCAAAGAAGATATATTCTCTACACAATGGTGATTTTAACAACCATCAAGGGTCGTTATAGATTGCTCTAGTTTCTGCAGTAGTAGCTAGTTTTGTGATACAATCATCAGAAAGGTGCCATTTTGCATCACGTGATACCAATGGAATCATTGGAATGCAATTAAACTTTGCAATTGTTGGTTAATAACTTAATATTGCTCAAAGGTCAACCGTGTCATATCATACCTCCTCTGGCCCAGCTCCCATCCATAACCTGGCCCTAAAATCACACATACACTGACTTTCATTGGCTTCTGCACAATATCAGTATGCAACAGCAGCTGACCATAAACTTGTTACTTTCCTTGGGAACTCTGTTAAACATTGGATTATCATGTGAGAAAAGTATATAATAGCTTATCATGCCAATTACTGTTGTGTGCTATTTTTTAGTGGCAGCAGTAGTACAATACAGTCAAACAGTCCCTATTGCTGGTGTTGTACCATGTCTTAATGAAAGAGTAGAACTAACTTGTAAAACTGATACTGGTGTTTTATTTTGCAAAGTATATGATACAAATGGAACAGTTGAGTTTTTTAGTAGTAGTAGCCCACAAACTCTTTCTCAAAATGGGAACTTCTCATTTACTGTCACTGCTGTTGATGGTGATATAATAACAAGTACTGCTAATATTGGATCAGTGGATGCATCATTTAATGGAACTATGATTGGTTGTGCAGATGGGTTTGCTAGTGATAAGTTTGTGTATCTACGTATTAATGCAACAGGTTAGTCTCACTTTGTGCATCAAGTCAAAACTACATCTAACAGGTCCACCAAAAGATCTTTTACCAGTTGATAATATAACAATTACACCAATTAATAATAGTTCATTGTTAATTAGTTGGACAAATGCACAGCATTGTATAAGTTATAACAATATTACGATAGCCAGTAATGAAACATACACTGAGAACCATACAATCAATATATCACCAGCTACCATTCATTCTCTTATTATTGGTACTAATTATTCATTTGTTATTATTCCTATTGATACTATTGGAAGAGAAGGACCTCCTTCATCATTAATACAGTATATATGGAATGGTAAGTACTATACACACACACACTCATTGTATTTCTTATAGTACCAGCTCAAGTTGTTAATATTAGTTGGGATCAGATATCAACTGATAATATTACAATATGGTGGAATAGCACTGAGGTATGTTAAGATTATTATTAATATTTATTATTACTTATAACAATAGGATATACGTCCTCCTATTAATTATTACATTGTTAATGTATACAATACAACAGATGGACAACTTATATCAAATGATACTAATGCCACCATTACTGGATTATCTCCCATTAATAAATACTATACTGTTACTATCATTCCTGTTAATGCTATTGGATATGGACTATCAGCTACTGTTAATGGTATGATTATTATACAGCACACATTATATTGATGTTGTTATTAATAGTCAATGTAACCAGTATTATTATTATTCCTATAATGACCAGTACTAGTTCAATGACTAGTGTATCATTATCAGGTCTGTACAGTTAATATAATATTATTATTAATTTATATATACATTGTGTAATTGGTTACATTAACTACTGACATTAGTATCAGTACATCAGTAATGCATATAATATCTACTTCAAGTAAGTATTATAGTTACAAAAACACATGCTGAATTGATATACAGTTACAGTATCTATTACTGATTCTATAGCAATAACAACCAATGAACTCACTACTCGTACTAGTACTACTGGTGCAACAATAATAGCATTGACATCATCAACTATGATACCAACCAGTACTGCTGGTGGTTCTAATGCTGTTCCAATTATATCAGGAGTTATTGGAACAGTACTTGTTATAATAATGATTATCATTATATTGATAATAATACTGGTGTATGCTAAAAAACACAGTAAGTATGATTATTATAAATTAGTTAATTCTCCTTTATATAGGAATAAAGAACAAAGAAAGGTTAAGTGTATTTACTATTAGTTATTATATATTCTTCTCTTATTATAATAGTCATACAGCAAATGGCAATGGAAATGAGGTAATGCACATTATTATATACCTTACATCATTTCCTTACAGTCTAAAGGAGTGACTGGTGGCTCATACAGAAACAATAATATTGAAGTAAATTAATAATAATGATCCTTGTTTATTAATGACTGAAGGATAGAACTCCTTCCGGTTCTGATCCTTCAGTATATAGCTACTATAGACTAACCTCATTCATTATATAACTACTGTACACTCACCCCAGTCATTTTATGCTGTTGTGTTTCATTCATTAGTTACAACCTACTGATCCTACTTATGCTACTCCTACCACTGAATATACTCCAGCAGCTGCTTCTACTGTAAGGACACTACAAGGAGGAGATGGACCACCTTCATATCCACCACCACCTCCTACTGGTAAACACCTTTTATGTACATTTTGGGTCCTTTTAAATGGCCATAGCAAAAAAATTTTTAGTTGCAATCAGCGCAAACTTACACCTTAAGAACATGTATCAGGAAATGTAGTAAAAATGTAGAAGTGATTTTGGAGTCAACTTTTAGACAAAAAGCATGTATAAATACATGTTAAAATAGCAGCTCATAGTTTTGGTGTATCAAGTACATCAACAGTTTATTTCTATTGTATTACAGGTTACTTAAGAAAAGCATTTGATACACTAGACTATGACATTTAGAATACACATCACTTTAATACAATAAATGAATCAATTCACATACACCATATACTCAGCACATACTTATATCCAGTCATCATTTAGTGTACATTAGCAAGAATAACATTTACCTTCCTCTACCTGTCATGACATGAACCATATGTCATTGAGTATACATGTACCACACAATAAGCTGACAACAGTCTACATGAGTAATCAAATGTTTTACTGTGAGTTACATTGAACTGCCATGATAGACAAGATAAATTGACAGATAATGTGCATGCTCTACAGTGGTCAGTATTAAGTATAGATTCAGTACTAGCTAGTACATTGTATATACATTATTGGGCGAAGCCCACTAAGAGGAGTAGAGTTCTCTTGTTTGTATGTAAGTACACGTACGTATTCCGTATCTACTCTATATGTCCGCACATGCCTTGCAGTGCAAAAGATTCTAAATTTCAATATTTCATTGAAAGTGGGAGTGGCCGAATGAAAATAAAATGGCGATCACTACACGGGAACATGCCGTTAAAGACAGGAATGGATCCAATTATTTGCGTGGGCGAAATGCGCGCATGCGCAGTACTGACTAAATTGTACTTCAATTTATAATGTTCATAACTCAAACAAAAATGTAAAAAAAACAGTTCAAACATGAAGAAATACTTGTTTAGTCACACATTTGATTTCAGGTTACTCTGTTGAGTCTACAAGGAATAAGCAATATTAATAATAAATGTAAAAAGGACATGTACTTTGCATTAATGTTTACAAAGAACTTTGTAGCCTATTTTCATCTCTAAAAATAATTTGACAGGAATGTCATTCTACAGATAACGAAAACAAATTTTATACAGCAATAATAGTTTTTACTGACCTGGAAATATACTGGTGTCACATTAAGTAGTGCCAAGGGAAATAAAGAGTTGATAATATATCTAGTCTTGGGGAAATGTTATCTGTTTAACAGAGATAAGTTAAAAATAAACCTTTCATTGCAAATGCCATACACATGGAGCTAGATATTTCTGTGGCCCAAAATTTCTGCTAATTATGCAGATTTCAAAAACTGTGAAATTTTAATCTTTTAAAATCAGTACACATTGAAAGGCATGGTGATTTTGCTAAATTAAAATCTGCAAAAAATTCACAGAAATTTTGGGCGACAGTAATTTCTAGCTACAATTAAAGAAATTTCTAGGTACCGCAATTCTAAACATTAGTAGCATAATAAAATAAATCATTTCATGAATAATTATTCTATTAAGTACCAACATCTCCAAATATAGCATCCAGAGTTTCGTCCACCACCATGAACAATACTGATAGCTTTTCGTGACATTCTAATTATCATAAAAATAGCATACATGTAAATTCAAAACTACAAAACTAACAGCTTTAATAGTCAGAAGTACTGTAAAAGTGGAATATGTCATTGCTTGCATTATTTAATGCATGAATAAAAAATTTACGAATTTAAAAACTATACTGACTTAAGGGTGCTGCCTATAGCACAATTATTTTATGCAGGAATGCTTAAGCCATACAAGTGTCCCATATAAGAGTCTTATTAGGTTCTTTATGCTCCTCTAAAAATGGGTTTTATTTTAATGAAAAACCTTTAAGAAAGGGACTGGAAATATATAAAGCTGTAAAATGAAGTTTAGATTGTGAAATTGGTGTTTTATGCCAGAAAAATGCAAACTTTCGAAAAACTTTGCCTGTAGTGATCAGAATCAGACCAAATTTACAATATAACCTCTTTACATGATTACACATACAGTAACATAGAGATATTTCAATTAAACAGGGCTGATATAGGAAAATGTGGTGTTGAGCAATATGAAAATCAAACTAAGTGGCATTACTAGTAGAAAAGGAGAAATATCTCTATGTTAATCAATTTGTTTGGTTAAGAACTGCCTTCACCTAGAAATCTGGTTATTCAAATCAAAAGTAAGAGGAGTTTTTCGCTTTTGAAAAATCTTTAGTATTTTAGCACTTGATGCCATAGCTATTATGAGTTAAAGGCTCCAAGGTAGCTTACTAACTTATTTAGTTACTGTCTTGTAACTAGTACTGGTTTCATTATGATTGGTAAAGTACTTTGGGAGAAACAGCTCCCTTAGCAACAGATTAAAAAATTTGTGTGGGCGGTGGTGCAGCACCCTTAAAAACTAATTATAGACCACTGGAAGTGAGAATTGGAAATGAATTTCGTTAATTTTATATATGGTATCTGCCCACATGTCATAATTGGCAGTCATTTTCGTTGGAAAGTTTGTTAAGGAAGTCGGCAATGAATGCAAGAAGAAAATGCCTCACTTACCTGCTGTAGCTCTATTAAAAGCTAAAATGTGCTTGTTATAAGAAAAAAGATCTGCCTTTAGCTTCTTCTCCAAAAGATGTGGTCCAATTTGCCCCGAATTCTCAATACAGGTTTGTTTTCATGCCAGCCCGTTTGTTCTCCATTAAAAGTTGTCAACCAATATGGCAGCTGAATTTATTTCATCCTAAACCACACCTCACAACCGTAAAAATTTCTAATAATCTTCCTATGTAATCAATTTTTACTGCTAGTGGTCTATAATTATACACAGCTTACAGCTTAACCTTGTACCTACTTGCGCTCCTAGTCTCCTACTACACATGTAAGCAAAAACTCATGAGCAACCTCTTATGATCCAATTCGCTGGCAAGGTATAAAATGCCTATAAAAAATAAATATATAAAATAGCAGACATTTACAATAAATTTATCGTGTACTTATCAATATCAAGCTCCACTATCCCAGTACAGGTCATAATGGGGCATAGTTGGGGTTTCAAATTAATTAATTAATTAAACCACTACCTCTGGGGCTGTTCCCTTCAGTCAAATCCCCTACTAAATTTAAGGAACGTTAAACAACCACTCAACTGCTACTGAACTCAGCTCTGCTGGGTAAACTTAGCATTTTTGAAACATAACTTGGTCAAACTAGCGAAGTCTTCCTATAGGCTTGTTAGAGCCTGAGAAAAATCCCTACCCTGGGGCATTCTCAGAGTGATGAACCTCCTATTAAATCCCTCATATTCCCCATAATGAGGCTTTAATTGACAGACATGTTACTTACAGTTCTGAAATGAGTAATTGTGGTGGAAGGAACAAATGATAACCCATGAAAGACTTAAAAGCCCATTTCCTCACACAAGAATAATTAGAAGATTATATACATATAGGTGATTACAATAGTCACAGTATATAAAAAGGCATAATTTATAACAGTCTGAAAATAAATTACCTAGTGCAAGGTTCTATTAGTCTAATCAGTGATCCAACTCATTGCAAACAACTAGGCAAAAAGGCCTGGAACCCGCACAAAGACAGCACTAGAAATATGAAAAACACTCGGTTGGTGGCAGCCATTAAATTTTTGTGATTTTTGTCCATGACTGGACCATGAGGGAGTAATGCGCATGCGTATTACAGATATAAAACCACCCACATAACTAATTGGATCCATTCCTGTCTCTAGACGCTTTGACACGGGAATCAGAAGTCATGATTTTCCTACTTCCTAGCAACAAGATAAGGCAAAAACACCTTCCAAAGACTTCTCCAACTGCTTGAAAAGGTTACAGGTGCAATTAAGTAACTATGAAACTCCTTTTTGTTGAGATAAACTGTGAAAATCAAACAAATGTCACCTTTGTCACTGACTGCACTAAACTGGCCAGCCTAATTATATCTTATGGTCAGTGTAGCAAGGCTTAAAGTAAAAAACAAGTCAGGAGTTTTCTAGCAGCAACTTAAGGTAGAGATTCTGCTTTTTTTCAGCTAATAATCTACGAGGCTGAGCCCTTGAATGTTCTACATTGTTTCTAGTTGTTATTATTAATATACAATATTCACTAGGTCAGTACAGTGTTCTTAGAGCTAGTGATGATGATGATACTCCCCCACCAGTACCAGCCTATAATCCTAATGGAGGACAAGAATACTATGAACTGAAGAGAGAGGGAGTGGTAGGTAGATAAACAAAATACCAGACATACAATAACAATAATGTATAATAGAAAAAGAACAACAACAACAACAAGGAGCTGGTCCACTTTATTCAACACTCAATCAAGATGATGATACTCCTCCTCCTGTACCTCCTCCTTATAATCCTGAGGGAGTACAGGAATACTCTGTATTGAAGAGAGAGGGAGAGGTGAGTGATTAATGAGAGAGTCTTTTAAAAATGGATCATATAATGTATTATTAATAGAATAAGGGTCAACAGGGTCTGTCTACTGGTGCTACTGGACTATATTCAACCATTAACAAGGACACTAACAACCAGGTATGGATACATGTACATATTGTATCATATAAAGGAAAGAGAGGTAATGGGTGAATTGAGTACCGTAAATGTTTAAATAAAGGCCGGGCTTGAATAAACGCCTGGTA